GCATCAAGAAAGTCCATGGAAAAAGGATTGCGCACAACGAATGCCTTGCGCTGCATCAGAACGGCGCGCCAAGCATGCTGCCCCAAGCCCAAGCAGGTCACCTGAGAAGCAGTACGTTCGAGCAACCAAGATATGATGCGCACCAGGGTATTGATGTAGCACGTGTTGCCAACATTGCGGAGAAGTACAGGGCGGATGTCGTAGGAGTCCATCCAGATGTTTGGCGAGGCCTTGTCTGCGTCGCCTCTCCTGACGCAAGCGACTCCTCAGCAGTTTCAGGGCCATGTTGTCGCACAGCTTCAAGAGGTTCTGATGGAGGCGTTCCCCAAGCGCTCTCACCGAAACCTGTATAGTGAAGCAGACTTCCCGGCGCTCGGCCATCAGTTCCATATCTGCAGTCAGGGGCTGTGATGCCTGCCCGGCACCTGGATGTCTGCCTGGATCTCCTTCACTATGGTCTCCAGATCGGACAGGGCAAGCGGAGTCGTCTTGGCCGCCACCAGGTCCTTCTTGACTGGGCCCCAGCGCTTGTAAAGCCATGTGCCCGCTTCCGTGCACCAGCCCGCCTGGAGCGCCGACTTTTGCATGGCCTCCTCCGCCACTGTTTTCCGCATCCTCGCAACCAGCTCTTCCAGAACGCAGCTCATCATGAGGGTCGGCAGCGGGCTTGTGATCAGGTGCGGGCTGGTCTCCTGCAGTTTTCTCCACTCCGAGCTCACGCCAAACATCGTGGGAAGTATGCCTCCCGGCTCCGCGCTGACGAACCATGTAAGGCCACAGTCCTGAAGAAGAACCTGCTGCGCGTCCGCCAACTTCAGGGTGAGCTTTGCCGTGGCCTCGACCAACTTCTGAAGGTCGCGGCTCTGATCCTGCCCATCTTTGGGTTTCCGATTGGCTTGCTGTCTGTGGCCCTTGCCCCGGCCCTTGTGACTGCGGTTGATCTCCGTCCTTGCTCTCTTGTTTGGGCCCTTCGTCTCCATCTGCACCGACCCAGTCTGCTGTTGCTGGCTCCCCACCGGAAGCAAGTGCTTGAAAAAGGCGAGCTCCGCTTCGTGAGCCATTTGCAGAAACTAGAGAGATGAGGATGGACTGGAAGATCACCGGGCACGCAACCACGTGTGATTTAGGGTCTTTAGAGGTGGACCCGCAAAGATCACAAGGTGATCTGATATCAGCCCCTTGGGATTTACAGAGCTTTTCAATCCTGCGCTTGTGCATATTCCATACCGTCCTATGAGATCTGGCAAGATGCATCTTCACAGCTCGATTAGACGCACACCATGTACCACACAAGCAACACCACTGCGCAAGCTTGGGCCTCCACTGCAAGTCAGAGACTAATTTGCGCCACCCATGCTGCTGAACGATAGAAAGAACGTCCGACTGCAAAACAAGTGGCTCCGCACTCGCTGTGTCAGCTGACGCTGGGATGGGCTCCCCTATCGGAGTGGGACACGCTCCATGCTCAATATGCTTCTGAAGTCTAGCCCATGAGCTCAGCAGAGTTTTGCATCCCGAACAACGTGGTTCTCCATTCACAGAATGCCGCAAACGATTGAACACCGGTTTGCTAGCTGGAGCATGCTTCGCTGAGATATGCGACCCCAGCACTGCCTGAGTAGGAAACTCAAGATTGCAAAAACGGCATTGGAGACGTGTCCTCCCCGCCTGTTGCTCCAGTTGAAGCTGCTCACTCAGGGTGTGGCAAACAGCGGCACGCCACTTGCCAATGTCCTCCCGCACCTTGACCGGAATGGGGCACTCATGGGTTTGGTTGGCGCGCCATCTGTCAAG